GATTATCTAGACGCCACTGACAAACGGTGAAGGAAAACATCGTGAGGAAACTTGGGTTTATTATTTCTAATTAGTTATACTTTTGTAGTCGCCAACCCGCATTGAGCAACCGTGGTGATTAATGCTCAAACCTTCTCCGTGGGAGAAGAGGCTTTTCTCCGCAGTGAGCATTTGTAGGTTGTTGATGATACCGCCAGAAATCACAAAACTTACGTTACGAATAATTCCAAAAGTGGTAAAGTAAAGCTATCAACTGATATTCAATTTACGTTTATGTCTTGTAGAGAAAAACTGACAACTAATCAAAAAATGTTAAGTAAGAAAAGAAATTAATGTCTAAATACACAAAAGCCTTAAGCGTAAAAACTTAGCGTGGCTTAAAATTTAAAGGCTAACAGACCTATACCTAGTTCTGTCACCACCAATTCGTGGTAAAATGTAAGAAGCGGCACTATATTAAAGTACAACTTTAGGTATTTGAGCGTAAGTCTTTATTTTACTGGAAAAATGTGGAAGACAAGATAGTCCAAATATTTCTATTTATAGAGACAGAACTAATTGAATGGTAGACAAATAGATTAAGATAAGAAATAGTATAGAAAAATACTGATATAGTTAGGAGAAAGATAGTACAATGATTCACAATACGGGGCAATTGATAGTAAGGAATGTAAGTTTTTGTTTGCATTGCGAAAACTATGTGGGGAAGAAATTATAATAATAGTTTAAATATGTGACAAGCGTTTTACCGTTTCTCTCAACTTCGCATGTACATACAGGGTTTTAATGTTGTAAATATTTAGGGAATATTTAGCTATTAGTGATTTGATGATTCAGATTACATATTGTTTTAGATTATTTCGATCAGTAAATTCGACCGCAGGTTTTCTGATGGCAACTCTAAGTAATTTTATGATTAATATGCTCAATGATATAATCAAAGTCATATATACAGAATGGTTGTTCTTCCGAAAGGTACAATTAAAAAATCATTACGATTACAAGTAGGTATCTAAGAATCGGTATTAGCAACAAATTATTGTGATTTCAGTATTAGTTCGTGATTTTCAAATTCCGCATTATTGCACACGAATAACACATATTTTCCTACAGTACCTAATGGTTTCATAATTACTTGAATAGTTTTACGGAAGACGCTTATTTACGAACCCAACTGTCAAGATATTAAAAAATATTATTTATTGAATATTATACTTTATGATACATTACACAATACCTAATTATGATCACGTAACATTTGTTGTTTATACGCATCATACGTAAATCAAGTCAAATCAAAATCAAATCCGTTTAATGCATATATAGTACCTAATGCTTAGAGGCACCAAGTTCTCAATAAAAATACTTTTCACTTGTCGATATTTGCCATTAATTCCACTATTTTGTAACTTAAAGGAGCTGTTTTAGAAATTTTATGTCAAGCACTGCTCATATACCGAAGTTACTTCTAAGTTCGTTCAGTTATAAGAGCCAAGTTACTCGTATCGCGACATTTTGCAATAAGCTACGCCTTTAATTACCGTTTCAAGTTACAATTAAGTAACTTCGTATCTTAGTACGGAACGACCTCTTAGATTTCATAAGTTGTCATTGAAGCAGAAATTAGGTAAGGTAAACTTGTAACCTAAATAAAATTATTTTAATAATTCAGTATCTATTGCGTAGATGTCATTGATTTTTGTGAAATTCTTGGAATCGTAATAATCTTTTTATTTGTTTCTTTGACGTCACAATTAAATGGTAATAATTAATTCGGGAATATCTATGATTAATTGCTTTTTTCAATTCAATTTTAGTTTATCTAAATATTGATAGAATGAATATGATAAGGATAACAATTCTAAATAATTATAATTATTGCAGATTTATATTTAATGTAATCGATCGTCTGGTATTTAATTCTTTACGAAATATAAAATCCTAAGCCTTCACGAAATCCCCTACGAAATATAAAATAATATTTTAACTTTATCAAATGCTTTTTAACACAAACAGCATAATTTTCCATAGTAATTAATTTAAATACCGTCACATATGTAATTAATTTGAAACGCCAATATAATAATATTTTCAGTAAATAAATCACTTCGTATCAAAGCTACAAGATCAAATGCACACGAGATAAAGAAAGTAAACACTAATAAATATGCAGAACACTGATTAAAACACATAATAAAGATACACAGAGATTATTAATTACGTGGTTAGTTGAACACTTTAATTGACAGAAAATTATAAAAGATGAGACACTAACCATGTGTGGTCATCTTCTTAATTTGCTTTAATATGCCCATAGTAGTCACAAACACAACACAGACAGAAATATAGTTTGTTTACAACACAAGACGTACAACTACGAGACCGTCTGTCACCGACTGTCGACGGCGATAGATCGGATGCACTTTCGACTCAAATCGACGCCTTTACTTCTTGATCTCCCGCCAGACCCGCTGACTTGACGTTGTTCACTTTCGCTTTGCACGCACGTCTTGTCAACAAAGTTATTTAACATTTTTGGTAGCTGTTAACCGGCCCACGTTGATGATGCGATTATCTCATAATTTGACAGAACCTGTTTTAAGTAACCTCTTTAATGGCGTATCTTATTTCTGCAGCCGTTTTATGATGTTCGTATTATTAAATTTAATCGGAAGTGATTTATTAATGTTATTGCAATGGATGAAGGTTGTTCGTTTGTCAATTTTGAATATTTAATCTTGACCTTCGATTTGCTTAAAAACCTTATTTGTATGTATTGAATTGGTTAATAAAATATAACTTCGTTTGATTACATTGATCTCGAGTTTTAGTACGTAATCTATTTCAAAAAATAGTTTCAGTATTGTAAAATTTTGCAAGCAATAGAATTATTTTTCTCAACGGATACAGGCCATGCCTTAATAACTTTGATACGCAGCGAAAGTCATTTTAGATATTCATCAGTCCGTACTCTACTTATTTCTTAAAGTGGCATACAAAACCGATTACAATCAAAACTGTGTTAATGACTGGGTTCTTTTATCTCCATTACAAGTTATAAGTTAAGGTCAAATGTTTAAAAACGACCAATAAGGCCGGTCACTTTTAAATGCCACATTTTTCAATCATTTAGTCACAGTAACGATCTTTTGGTACAAGCGTTGTTCATCGATATGTTTTTGATGTAGATAATGTTATCTTTTGCAGTAAATAATGCACTTGTAAGAAATAATCTTACTTAGATAACTAAATCATTTAATTAATAAGTTATTCTCGAAGAAATTGATGAATACAATTTAACTCGTCGAGTACCGGTTTTGTAGACACAATTATAGAACAATAGGTTGCGGTCACCGGTGACCGCTTGGTGTTTGACAGTTTAAAAGTAGCTGTAAGTATACATGATGTAGAAATAGATCAGAATGCGTTAAAAGTTTCCGCTAATGCTTATAAATAAGTGGAGTTCACTTTAGATAGTAACCTTGAAAATACAATAACATTACGTGTTACCGTAGAGAATCCCATAGAAAATTGTAACACAAAGAATGACACAAATAGTGAATGACTCTGTACTCACTGTACGGCAATGGAGCGTAAACATCCGGATAGATATTCGTCCTGTTTCCCCATTCAGAAATCTCATGCAGGGTGTGACGATAGTCATTATTTTTGTTTACATTTGCTGAATTATTCCGATAAACTACTGGATCTGCCTTGTTTCTTCTTTCCGATTCAACAATATTCATTAGATTGTTCGTTGAAGCTGAATGATAGTCCCGTTGATATTTGACTTCATTTTGTATTTCACTTGGTTCAGAAACTACTTCTGATATGGTCACACTCTGAGTATCCACGTTATCTGATACTGTGCCATCGTATGTATCAGAGTCGTTGAACGATTTATCTTTTAACTGCAGAGATTTGTAGTCATCTGTTAGTTGCGTGACACTTGTAGCGCCGTATGTAATAGTGGCTGTCGTTGTTTTTATTCCAGACTTATCTTCAACAGATTCATTACTCTTCAAACTGTCTGTATCATATTTTGTACGAGATTCATTAGGGCTGGTTTCTTTTGAGAAATAAGCACTGTCGCTTTCATATTCTTCCGTTTCGTCATATAGTAAATTCTTTTTCATATATTTGTTTAGAGCGAGTTGAGATCTGGATAGAGATCCTGACCCTGGCACGTCACTGAAAAATCCATCATCTTCATAGTTAGTATCTTCACGGTTTGAAATATTGCTGTGTCGTTTGTTGCTGGTGTCACTCGCAAAATTCGCGCTCATTTTCGTGGCACACAATTACTTTATCATATTAGCACTGCACACACCTAGATGGTTCTAGTTAAACTGAAGTTGTGATAACACTGATAAAAGTATTATATCGGTGAGTTGTACTCGATAACACTTGTCGATACGGTTCGATATTCCGCGCTGTCAGTTACTTCAAAACTTTATTTATTAATTTTACGAACAACAAGTAGACCGCGTGTGATCAAGCGGCTCGCCGAACTATTTACAATTGTAAAAACTCAACCGACAGGTTTTGGAAGTCCGATCCAATTGAATGACGTAAACCGGCAGAGGTTGACTGATAATCGCACGATATGACGAAGGATTTTTTGTAAAATTGTTATGACACAAGTATTGTAACTTATTTTATATTATCTTAATCACTTCAAAAATAAACTTGACTAATTTTTATTCGCGCCAGACAACGTGTATAGACGACGATGGTCAGGGGAATAAGTTAAGGCGCCGATTGTTTTGAACAAAGGCTATTGTTTCTTTTTTATTCGCATATAGTAATCTTATGGAATATAAACTTTGTTGGCTCTCATGATGCTTACACCGAATGATTTTCGGAAGTGAATTGCTGTTACCTAATGTACCAAAGTAGGTTAGATAACTTTTTTATTTATTTTTGTGAAACAAATGTCTCGCTGCATTGTTATTTACGGACAAGACCACAAATTGTTAACGGTGAGTGAATGTACTTGCCTGTATCTGAGTAGCTCCCGTGCGAGGTTCTGCGTGGAGGCTCCGGTGCTGAGTCGTTCTCTAATAGTGTATAACAAAAAATGGTCAGGGACCAAACACAAAACATAATAACATGAAAATGTGAAATAAAAGAAACATTGATACTCGTTATGTGTTAACATCTAAGCTCACAAAATACACATTTTTACATAAATATTTACAGCAAGTTATTTATTTCCTGATATCATGAAAAAAGTGACAATTATTGCAGGGCTGCAAACCATTCTCGTTTTCGAACAGTAACCACGCGAAGTAAACACGCATAGCAGAAACGCGATACAGTGAAACCCATAACGATGATCAATAAATCTTTTATATAGGATGCAAACTACTACAAAATTCAAATTTACTCCAAAATTAAACACGACTTATAGTCAACTAAATTGAGTTGTAATAAAGTTCAGAAATTAAAGAAATTAACCTTGAAATGTGACGGTATGTCTTGATGGCGTGACGAAGGGTGAGAGCCTGTAGGGCCATGAAGCGGGAGGCGGACGAGGCGGAGCCCGAGGTGGCTCATACCGGCTCGCCGGACGATGTGCCGCCGGATTAAATTCTTGCTTCGCAAATGTGTCGCTTTTTAGAATGGAACTCAATTTAATGGATTCTTTAGGTTTTATTCGATTTGTTTCTTTTTTTACAGGAGAAGTGCGCCCACGGACTAAAATATTTGGATCCTCTATGGATCTGTTATTATCACTACGCTTTGGGTAACGGTGCGCTATCCACGAACCTGCTAAGTATGGAGCTATATCGTGCAGCTCACTTACGTCAGGAGCGGAAGCGTATATCTGCCCTAGTAACGACATTGTCTCGAATCTCCGACGAATACGGTCTACTTCTCCCTGTCGACATTCTGACGCTTCCTCCGCAGATCTAGATCGAGGTGTAGTACGTCTGCGGAGAGCTGCTAACTTCGATATTATATCAATATGGGGCATATAACGATTGGTCGATCTTAACGGTACTCGGGCCACGGGAAGGGCTATTCTAGACTTGTCTCGTCTTGAGGACAGTTTTTCGAAGGAGGACCAGCTGGTAAGGAATGCGTTCCGTGCAAGTTCGGGATCACTGCGATACCGCCGCAGTACAGCGCCGACTGCCGCGGGCGAGTCAAAGCGCCGGGCCAAGCGGCGTACTTCACCGGCTCGCGCCAGGTTGAGGTATGCGCGCCAATATCTCTCCGGGTCGGGTGACGGGCTCCGACTGCGCCAGATTGTCTCATCGCTTGAACAACGTAGCGTGTCGGGGGTTCGTCTGTCAGCGTATAATTCAGAATGAGGTGAAGCTGACCTAGAATGTAGATCGGGTTTCAAAGGAAGTGAAAGAAATTTACTCTTTTCGCTTTCGCCAAAAAGCTCCTTAAAATTTGTACAAGACTGTGACTGGACAATTTGGTTTTTTTGGGGTTCGTTAATTTTGGCTTCATTCATATTTGAAACGACTTCCTTGACTACCACTGCAATGTTAGAACTCGATTGATCCTGATTTTCTTTTTCATCTGAGCTTTCTCTAGCATGGTAGATAGTTTTCGTTTGTTCAGCTGTATTTTTCACAGATTCGAAATATTGAACTTTTTTTTGCACTTCCTTGCTGGGAACACGGTATATTACGGTTTTATTCGAAATATCTGAACTAGCAGTCTCAGTTTCACTGGCTGAAGACTGACACGGTGTTTCTGTTTTCTCTTTTGGGTAAACGACATGTCGCTTTTGATCATTTTCAGGACTATTAACACTTTCTTGTTTTAAGTTATTTTCTGAGTTTTTTTGAACCCCAACATTTACTGTTGCTTCTGTACATTCAGATATTAACTGTTCCTTGATTACAGAATGTTCAATTTCTTCTTTTAGGGACATAGGGGGCTGTGTTTGATTGTCAAATTTGTTTATTCTGTTTAAAATCTCTTTACTTAATGTTTGTGAAATCTTTCTTTTTTCATTTTCGCTAAGAGTCATTTGAATCTGGTTGACATTATTTTTTAGTTCCTTCACCGATGTGATTGGACAAGAAATAGCAGCTATAGAGTCAGACTTGGTTAGTTTCACTGGTTTTTCTCTGTCTGCGTTGTAATTGGATGTAATCAATGAATTGCATCTAACATGCAATGATGGATTTGCTTCTATTTTATCTTCCTTTACGTCAATAGTGTATTTGATATCCGCTTCTTTATTCGATTTTGATTCTAGTTCTTTGCTGTAAATTGCATTAAGCTGATTTTTGAGAGCATTTACTTGTTCCATAGATAAACTGCTCCATAAACGACTACCCAAACCTATTTTCTTCCGAAGGTCATTTAACGAAGTTTCTTGTTGTAAAGTGACCGTAGGTTTTACTGTGATTCGCTGTTCTAGTTTATCGTTATCGTTTTTTTTATTAATATAAAATGCTGTTTCAGCTACACTTGTTCCACGCCACAAAGGTTTATAAGTGTCTCTAGATTGGGGTTGCTCTAACTCCATCGAATCGTATTGAGGTATCTGTTGAAAATGATCTTTTAAGTCTTCTACAGACTTTTCTTTTATTCGTAAACCTCTATCGGAGTCGTAATTCCAGCGAAAATCTTTCAAATCTCGGGGATAAAACAAAACATCTTTTTCAGTTTGAGCTAATTTCAACTTACGATATAAATTGTTTAATTCCTCTTCAGCCCTCTCTATGGCTCTTATTTTCTTCCAACGATCAAAATCAATGATTTCTTCATCTTTTCTTCTATGACGTAAATCACTCGTAGATGTAGCCTTTTCTAATTCAGCCACCCTTTCCAAGTACGTGTAGTACCTATTTAATTCCCTGAAGCGTTCTGACCTCATTTTTGTGTTTTCCATGTCACGACAGTATTCATCGTAATCTGGGTCAGTGGTATATAAATTAGAATCACTTTTTGTTTTCATGGGAAGGCTTTCTGAAAGATTTTTTCTCTCAGCATCACCGGCACTTCTAGTACGAAATACACTTTTTGGGACTGTATCTGCATACTGTTTACTGTTTTGCAGACGAGCGCTGTGTATGCGCCGGTAGGATGGAGATCGTATGGAAACAGGAGATGTGGAATGACTTCTACTGACACTTGCTCTGGTACCTTTTCTTGTAACCTTTGGGGATACTGGTCTTGAAGTTTGAGAAAAGAATATTGTTGAAGGATATTTATCATTATCAGATTTGGCATCAATGATTTCTAAACGAGGAGAGCGTCTAGTAACTACTGGAGATACCGGACGAACAGTCTCAGTGAACACAATTTTTGATGGCGACAACGATTTACGTTTCAATTGTGGGGGAGATATTTCGCGTTTATGTGTAACTTTGGGAGAAACAGGCCTTCTGGTCTGCGTGAAAACCAATCTAGATGGGGATGTAGGGTTCTTAACCACAATCTCTTTTGGTTTTTCTTTTTTATAAAACACAACTGTAGGTGACTTTGGACGAGATGTTTGAGAAAAATACATTTTATTGCAAGGTGGTTCACTTTTACTTCTGATTGTCGCTAAAGACGAAGTTGATCCAAAATCGTCACATTTGGACAGACTGTCAAATTTACGTATTTCGTCATGCATTCTGCCGGGCCATGATATTGACCTAGGACTGCGGGCTCGAGATGGACTGGGATATCTATCCCACATTTTGAAACGGGATAAGGACACTGGTTTTCTATGAATCAAATAAGTATTGAGGGACTTTGGGGAAGCTGTGTCCTGAGGAAGTGATTGGAACATCCTTGCTTTTTGCAACACTGTTGTGTTTTGTTCTAACATTGGATATACTAAAGTTGGCGTTGAAGCTCTTCCAAGGAATAAATGTTGAAAAAACGAGTCGGATACAACAGCATCATGTGATTTTTTTATTTCTTTAGAACTGATTCGTCTTGGTCCTAAATTTTCAAACGAACCGAAATTCGAAATTTCATTCGAAGTATCGCCAAACTGACTACCAGATTCAGAATCATCATTTGATTTCGTAGTACACTTTTTACTACTCTTAGGTTTGGGTGTTTTCTTTATAGTTTTAGGATCTTTAGCTTTCTTACTGCATGCTTCGTGGCAAGGTACGCTTCGAGGTCTGACAATTACACTCTCCAAAGACTTTTTCTTTTTTAAGTTTGTTACTACTGCTGTTTTCACTTGATTGGTTTTTTTTAATCCAGTTGAAATATTTGAAGTGGATTTAGAAATGCTCGATGACGATTGGAGCGAGCTAGGTTTCAGTATTTTAGGTTCATTTTTAATGGATAAACAAGGATTTGACTTTGTGTGTTGTTTTGATATTTTGAGCTTTTGTACTTTTTCAGCGGTACGAATCATATCTCTACTCTTATGAGTACTAGTTGGTGACGAAGATTTTGTGCTTGGAGTCATGCTTGACTTTATAATAGGCTTATGTGTACTATCTTTATCTTTAGACAGAGATTTAGCTCGTACTTTTGTTACATCAATGCGCTCATTTCTTTTTTCGGCACTCCACAATTTATCAAGGGAAGTAACTTTGTCAAGTATATTCGATATAGGTGTTTTACGACCAGCTCCCCCTTCTATAATCACAGATGAGTGAGTTTCGCCGTACTTGCTGTGTACAGAGTTCGAATATTCCGTAGGTAACAGAATTCGGCGAGAAGAGCCAAAACTACTTGTACCACTCCTAGCTTCACTACCCATAGATTTCATTGAACTTTTTAAGTTAATCGTTGAATTATACTTTCTGTTCATGGCTGGTGGTGCGGATGTTGACATAATTCTGGATTTCGGCATTTTTTGTTCAAGTGTTACACATTTTTTCTCTGCTGACCATCCAGACTTGCTAAGGATTTGTGTATTTTGTCGAGAAAGTTTGTGATTTATTTTATCTTTCAGGAAATCAACGTTGGATTGTGAATACGATGTTGACCGCTTTGGTGAAGTAGATACAGGTCTTGTTGAAGTCACCAGCTTCAGAGTTCGACTGTTCTTAGATGAAATCCTTCTAGGAGGCGCAGGTGGATAGTCAGATATTTTACTTGGTACATCAATACTCAGGAAAGAAGGAGCGAGCCTCTTGAACTTTACTTGATCTCCCGTTTCGATACTTGTCACTGGGTAGCAAATGACTTCGTGTACCTTTGGCGTTTTCTTATGAACTCTTATCTTCGTCAGTGTTGAAGAAATCGGAATATATTCGATTTCCGATTCGTCTGTGGAATATAATCACTTTTCAGTGATGATAGTCTTTCGGTTGCACTCGTTAGATGTGATACAAACGTGATTCTCGTGCTCCTGTTCTAATTGTGATCTCGTAAGCTATGTTTCAACTTTCTAACCGTGATACTACATTTGTGCCGCAATTTCAACCTAGTGACGTGTTCAATAAGTGCTAGTTTAATTTTGGAGTCAATTTGTGCTCATGCAAGTTTACCTGGTATTACAGCCGAAGACCCAGCACCTTATTATGTATATGAAAGCATTTATAGGCAAATAATCGACTTACCTCACGTGTATAACAGTATAGACTAGTGTGTGCTATTGAAAAGCGTCATTGTCATTATAGAGCGGCCTTGAGTTCGTACATCCGACTGTAGGCATGTTGTGACGAGATGTCATGTGTTGGGGATCTGCATCGACCTTGGCCGAGTTAATGGAAAATGTGATTTTCCATAGATATTGTCGTTTTAGATATTGTTAATAAACCAAATGTAGCAGTATTGTACACTGTAGGGCCGATAGTAATAGTAAAGTTGTTTAAGTAAGCACGCCGTAAGTTTTAGTTAGAGACGCCAACACCGAAGTGACCGTTATTTTAAAACCATGCTATATTAGATTACCGTATTTTAGCTAGTTATTTGTTAAAAATTAGTAATAAACCCTACATAAGAGTACGTATATTTAATATTAATATTAAAAATAAATTGGTTAACATATTTAAGAGATATGGCTTTGAAGCCATTATTTACACTTTTAATCAAATATTTTCATGTTTTTTACACTTTTTTTTTTAATTATATGACTTATTGCATAATAAGGGTAAGACTGTACAGTAAGCTAATTTTTTCAGTTATTTTAGTCAACATCATAATTTCATTTAGAATTTTAATATGTATAACTGTGCGATCTTACCCTTCAGAGACTTTTTTTAAGTTAATTAGAATACTATACTTAGAGGTATTATGTTGTAATTACTACTATGCTGACCTTGTCGAGGTGGTGCTGGGGACCGGAACCCTCTGAGAGGAGGTTCACCACCAGCTTGCAGGTCTCTGTAGGCGGCTCTCCTCTCTGCTGGTGACAAAGGTGCCTCCGTATCTTCACGACGACGGAACACTAGCGTCGAGTCGGATTCGTATCCTGATTCTTTAAGAGCCCTAGGAGAAATAAATGTCTTAGTTAGATTTAAAACTATTGTGGTAATATGGAAGGCTGAAGAAAATTTAGATTTATTCTTATCAACTTTTCTCTACCATCAATCATCAATAGCCTATAAGTACCCGCTATTGAGGAAGGCCTCTTCTCACACGGAGAAGATTCGAGTTTAAAATTTTCTCTAATTATATGATTTTACAATCTGGGGTCAGTCCCTTTTAAACCAGTGTCATTTAATTTTTAATCGATTGACGGAATAGAAACGTCGATGGATGGGTTTGTTTGACATAAGTTTTCACATAATTTGTCGAATGACAGTCTTAAACTTATAGTTACTTCACTTTTCTATTCACTCGTTCGACTAACGTTTAAATGTTTTTTTGTCTAATATTTTTAGTATAGGGGTAAAGAGTTGCCACTTTAAATTTTGTATCGGTATTAATTTGAAGCGCCATCTGGATTTTGCGTCCGGTATTTTTTCTTTTTTACCTATTTGTTAAGTATTCACATTAGCTAGGGGTACTGAATACAACGTTATCGATTATCTTAAATTAGAATTCGTATAAGTTATATGTATTTATTTACCTTGCCATGTTCGATTTAGACAGGATCGTAGCCGTTAAATCTTTTTTCTCCTTTGGTGACGATTGTGGCAAAGATGTCGTACTTGAAATGTTTTGCTGCAAAATAATTAATTAAATATTAATACTCAATTACTGTTATTTAAGTACACACAATTCTAACACAGAACAAAGGGTTTCTGCTCACAGTTTCTAGTGAGTTTTCATTTAAAACATGCTGTAAAGCTTAAGAAATATATCACGGTCTAAAAAAAAACAATGAAATGTATGACAAAGAAGTATTTCATATAATAATATCATGCTAATATAAAAGAGAGAAAGCTCTAACAAATTTCATTCAGTGATTATGAAATTAAATTATTTTTGCCTACCCATTCTGCAATAGTTTGTTTGTAAAATGAAATACACCAGAATCATGCAAATAAAAAATAAAATGATACCCATCACCAATAGGAAAAAAAATAAAAATAAAATCATAATACACTTTATTTTCAACCTATGCACTTTTAACAGATTTATTTTAAGACATTCAAAGTATTGGCATCGAAATACGGTTAGGTTAATATTTTTATAAAAACAACTACTGTTCCCCACAATTAATAGTGATGTTCCTTAGTTGAGAGTAATTTCATCGATAGATCAAAATATGAATACAGAAGACACAATTTAATAGTTTTATATAGTTTCTTAAATTGTAGAATTAAAATAAAATAAAGTGACGTAAACGTATAACTAAAAAAATATTGACACCGGACGAGCTGTCAACGTCCTTATAAAATTACAAATCATTAGGAGTTTAGTAAGTTTTGTATTGTTACAAAACGATAAAAAATAATAGTTAAAAATATTGTAATTTGATGGCATACAACTAAAGACAATTATATAATAAACATCGTGCATGCAAACACAAATGCTCACAATACAGGCATACATTCATGTTAAGGGCCTTACACTCTTCTGTATCGCGCGAGCTAGCAATGTTGTGTAGGGGGGGAGTGGGGAGTTGTCATCTAACCACTGTTAGTGCCACCACCACACGACCCAGACAGCGATGGAAAACATACGTTAGTCGAACATAGTACAGCTGAACTCATAGCGTTATCATCATAAGGGTGAAGGACTCCAGTTGACGGCATATTTACAAAATAAACTCAAAATATTATAAGCTAAGCCAACTGTTTTTGACATATATAATATCGATTATTTTTGACACAATTTTCCAAAATTATTATCACATATTTTTTATATAAATCCTTAAAACAAATATTATGAAACCAACAGAAAACCATATGTTATGAATTATTAATGGTTATTACAGATACACACATAAATAAATAATAAAAATATCGTACCCCGTCAAAAATGTCCATGACCTCGTCCCACCACTAGAAAAGAAAAAAAATATTGCAATGATGTTTTATATGAACGTGAACTCAGGCAGTTAGTTCAGATGGAGATGAGATGGTGGAGGGAGATCTAATGAAGACTGAACAGTTTTTAGAACATTTTTTTGATCTAAAGCCAAAGATAGGTATCTAAAACGAAGATATGATTGCGTAGATATGACTAGATATAAAATGTATTTGAAATGAAGATTAAATATCCATAATAGTTTGGTTTCTTTAGTCTACATAAAAGAAGTGATACTTTTCTGAGATAGGCTAGAGGTGAAATTATGCCTTAAAACTTTTGTAACAAAAACAATTTATAATATGTAGTAGAGCAGGACAGTAGAAACGCAGTACATCTACTGTCGAACACTTATAAATCTACGAGTTCATATAAAAATCCTTCAATGAATTATGATCGGTGTCTGGTAATTGAACTCCTGAAGCACTTCAAAAATGATACCATATGTGTGATAATGAATAATTATGGTAATGAACCCAATGAAATGCAAATAGATCGTTTGTGGAAAGTGCAAGATGGACGGAGTGAGGTTTACCTGTTTCGCTTCTTTGTCAACGACTGATGACTTTCCTGGAACGTAGTTCTCTATTCTTCCTGGCTGGTTCTTGTATACTTCTTGGCTCGCTCTCGCTGATGCTAATGTGCTATATCTGTGGAATAGAGGATATTTGGTTTCATATCATTTTTGAGAAAAATGTAAATAATTGTTCAAGCTACCATTTTTTATTAAAAAACGTTGCCCCACACTAGGCTTTTCTTTTGTGTCGTGTGTACACACAAACGTACAAGTTCACATATACAATGACACCCAGACCCGACACAACAATTCGTGGATCACTCAAAGTGTTCTTCCGTGCGGGAATCGAACCCGCGACACGTTGCACGGCAGCCGGTTCCCAGCCATCGCACCAACCGTGCAGTTGCACTTACATAGCTTTGGTGGGATCCGATTTGTATGGTACATCAAAGTCGAAGTTTAATAATGTAACCATAAGTACTACTATCATTTAGAGGTACTATCGGCTTGAGTAATTCTGAGGAGAGCAAGAAGGCAAATGAATAATATAATTATGACAATTTATAGTTGCCACAAAAAACATTTTATAAAATTACCAGTTTTTGCAACCAGTAAATCACGATTCAAGCAATCTCAATAAACACCGTGTTTTGTCATGTCACAGTGACATAACTTTGAAGACAGTTTTATTACCCCACCTAAGTAGCAACGTGGAGAAACAAAATTGAAGTAGATTTGTAGGACCGGATCACTGTCGCTTCGAACCAGCCTATCTCAAAACCTATGCTCAACAGTGGAAGTGTTTAGCTGATATTCATTTTGATGATCATAATTAAGGATTTGTAAATTATGTTTTATGGGTTTGGCATTGAGACAAAAGCATTTTTTTTAAGGGGGGAAAATCATTGAATTACTGCTCCCGCCTGGGTGAGGTGGGAGAGAGTGTCAGACTCCTACTGACTAAAAACCACCCCGTTTCTTCTCCTGCACGTCGAGCCGGAGCCCCGGTTACCTGTTGGGTTCTCCGCGACGAGACAAAAGCATGATGTTACGTTTATATGTATGTGATACTTACTTATTGGTACTAGACGAATACTGTGAGTTAACATCATTGAATCTTCTATCTTCCTGCACTGAAGCTGTCCGTCTTCGAGGGCCAGTTGTCACATCGCTGTCATAAGCATCGCTCCACGTGCTGCTGCCCAGCCTACTTAGACCTCCCTCCGGCTCACTTAGGTAACCGGAACGGGGGTCAAAGTAGGCGTACTGGGATTTATTACTGAGCACTCTCTCTGGTGGTTGGCCTAAATAGAAAATATTTAGAAATTAGCTGATAGTGTTTGGATCAGAATTGTTGTTTGATGCAAAATCCCAAGCCAAAATCTTTAGATACAATATTCAAGGACAAAATAAACTTCATGAGAAAAAACGGTATTTTCTTCTCTGTGTAATGAAATAAAATGTATAAAATAAATATTAATTCAGTAAATAATTAGAAGTGGTGTCTAAAACAAATGGTATAGGTAAGATTAAGTCTGCTAAGATTAATATTTTATAGCAATGCGTTGCACATTAGTGCGTAGTGATGTCCAGCAGGCGTTCTTTTAATACATTTATTATTTTATTATTTTTGTATAAAATACTATAGGTAATATGTTAATTTTTAAGCTTTTAAGCTGATGTTATAGTAATATTATTACTAGTTGTTAGGTAATTAAATTATTAATTATTTTATCTCATAAACTAATTAAATGATTTTTTAAATGTGTGACGGTTAATTTATTTTCGTGAGTTCATTTTTATGTAATTTACAATACAATTATGTTTTAAAAAAGCAATGACTTATATTTACAATGGCGCCAAACTCATGGAAAAAAGCGTTTAAAAACGGCACAAGATATGCGATGTAAACAGCCACCGATGTAACAAAAAAAAAATAATTTGGAAAAAATAATACTAATAATCACCTCGACGACTTTTGTATCGAATAGTCACATAATCGTCTGAAAAAGAAAATTAACAAAAATTGGGGAAACCTCATTTTAACATTGATACCTAATAAAATAAAAAGGTTAAAATTAAACAAAAATCGACTTTATGCTGTTGCACTCACCGTCGTATTTGTTTTTGTGTATGGTGTCGTACATCTTTTTGTACCACCTCGAGGGGTCTTTGACTTCCTGTAATAAGAGAATCACACATTTAATAAGAGGCCTTGATATTATTGTTACATGTATGTATTAACATCAATACTATCGTAAGGTATGGCCCCCTCACTACATTGTAGTATATAAGATTAACAGACGGCACGGAGCGCTCGCCCCTGGCCCCAGCCAGGCCCCCAGGCCTTAACTTCTTGTTAGTGGCCACCGCAGGGATTGTCCGGTTAAGTAGTCAACAGACTTAGCGTAAAAAAAAAAAAAAAAAAACGGAGCGCTCGGTCTATCTGTCATACTCTGGTGTGTGTGAACGTCGTGCGCTCTGCACATTATTATAATAAATCCAAGTAAAACAAATCCGAGTATTAATTATTAATCCACCAAATTATTAATCCACCAACATAACAATTATGACCTACGTAAAAGGATTCAGATACAAAGTAACGATATCTGACTGGCAGTGGTTGAATGTGGAAAACTGAAGATGCAAGATGCAATAAACAGAAACCAATACAGTTAATGACAGTTATTGCTAAATGAGAGATTTAACATAACGTAAATGAGTATTTCATGATGATCGGACCTAACCAACTACTATGGCAACGAATAAAAGAAAAAAAAAGCAATAATCTTGGTACGCCATAGGATAACGAGGATGAAACCGAATAGCGAAATGACAATACGAAAGATAAAGAACTTCAAAGGGATTTATGTAATAATTATACCTCTACTTATTGCCATAAAAATATATATATATATATACTTACAGATCTCAGTGCGACTGGCATTCCGTCTTTGGTGATGGGTCCGATTCCTTCTACTTTTCTTTGGGCATCCGCCATTTTACGGATCCCTCCGCGTTCGTAATCGCTTCTGTCGGCCTCGCCTTCACTCGCGTATTCTTTTCGAAGAGCATGAACTGGAAAACATATTATTATCGTTTTAGTTTATTAGAATTGTACCGGGTAAAACGGGCTGAACAGAATTCGAAGGGTGAATAGAGATATTAGGAATTTTTTCATAGTATCTTTTCACCCCAATCCTATATCTATAATATCTATTCACCCTTAGAATTCTATTTAAAACTTTTTTACTAACAAATTCCATTTTAATTATTAATATATTGTTAATATTTGACATAACATGATTATAATTTAGTTTTTAGTATCTTAAAAAAGTTTGTAATTGTTTTTTTACTTGTAATAAGAAGCTTATTCGAGTTTTATACAATAAAAGTCACTAGGTACTACGCACCTAAATCCTGCGTGGGCAACTGGCTTATACCCACGCGAGGCTTAAACATTTGACTTTTCCTACTTTTGACAAAAAACTCAAATGTCTTGAGGTTTTAATATTTATCATTCTACAGTTTTATGGAATTAGGAATAATATCAATTACGTGTTTGAGTTTGTGTGTGATAAAAACCAGTTATAAGACGGCGGCGTGTAGTTCGCACTTACGGATTTCCGTAATTTCAGAAAAATGAAAATTATTTACCTACAATTATTTTTATTGATTCGGACTCAGAATCGATAGCCGAGTTACTTCCTAGAAAATGACGCGGCTTTAAAACAACACCTTGTATAACACTTTAAGGTAACACAGAAGAGTGCTACAGTAAGTTGATGTTTCTATATTATAAGAAGAAGCTTTGTGTTTCTTATTGAGAATAAGTAATGTATTACCTGGGTCGCCTCTTGGTGGAGATGGACGGTCACGCGGCAGTCTCGCCGCGTCTCGCTCCTGCTGGATGTAGTTGGAGCCACGCGAAATCTGCCCTTCTGGAAATGAAAATACAATCAAATGAGATTACTGTGGCACCGTGAGAACGTATCGTTTGGCAATTGAAATGATTTTTTACATTTAAGTAATAACTGATTGAGATAAACATAGAGGTTTAATGAAGATGACGAATGTACACGAGTGTGAAGGGAAGAGAAGCGCTGGGCGAAGGAAAAAGTCGAGAATGCGAGGATTGGACTGGTATCAGCTCTGTGAAACAACTTTTCCGCTTGTCCAATGACAAGGATCAATTCAAAAAGTTGACGGCCAACCTCCAGGAATGAAGTGACACCATAAGAAGAAGAAGAATGTATACATCATATATCTATAATAATATTTGTGAAAACAAAACGCGACTAGAGGCTCCGGGTAGTATCTAATAGCTAAGAATGATAACACATAACTTTTAGGGTCACTATTCTAACAAAGTTAAACAAAGCTATAAAACATACAGTTCATATTGATATCTTTTCCCAGCATATATTTTGTATCTCCCAACATCATTATCAGCTATTTTCCTCAGTTGTTATAGTTGTAACCATCGGGTTGTCATCCTTACTTGTATCAAAGTCTATGACATGACGCGACCCTCGTCACCAGACGTTATGGATGGCATAATATCTTTTTCAAATTTATACATTGGCTGCTTATAAATAGAAGGATATGTCACCTATTGGATAGGCCAGGTATCTGATACGTGTGGATTTATCCAACCTGATATGAGAGCACAATATTTTAAAGTATTCATGAAAATGCCCTGTTAGGATGGGATGGAAATAATACGCGTTAGTGGGCGTTGCGAAGGCTCGCGTCTGGTTTTTGTGATAAGGTGTAGTTGACATAAAAAACACTTAATAATGAATTGTGGCTCCATTCTAACGGGTAGGGACTACACTTTGTATAAAGTTAACTTGTGGGAGTCTGGATAGTCAAGACTAGACTATTTTATTATTTTCATTTCTTTTTGGGTGGATCGAACACATATAGAAAGACAAAGTGTTTATAGACATGCGATTTCACGGCATTTAGACCAGCTTCCTGTGCACAGGCTGCCTGCATAGATAACTACAACCATTATGAGCATTTTGTTTTTTATGGCATATGCCGAGTAAACGAGCCGACGGATCACCTGATGGTAAGCAATCGGCGTCGCCCATGGACACCTGAAACACCAGAATCGTTACAAGTGCGTTACCGACCTTTTGGGGATGGGGAGTTTGAGGATTGTTGGGGATTCGGGGATTGGGGAGATTGGGGAAGGGGGGAGGGAGTTGGGCTTCCGGTAACCTCAATCACACGACGAAACACAACGCAAACGTTGCTTCACGTCGGTTTTCTGTGAGGCCGTGGTATAACTCCGGTCGAGCCGACCTTTTGGGGATGGGGAGTTTGAGGATTGTTGGGGATTCCGGGATTGGGGAGATTGGGGAAGGGGGGAGGGAGTTGGGCTTCCGGTAACCTCAATCACACGACGAAACACAACGCAAACGTTGCTTCACGTCGGTTTTCTGTGAGGCCGTGGTATAACTCCGGTCGAGCCGGCCTATTCGTGCCGAAGCATGGCTCTCCCACACTTTGGTTGATAGATGCAAGCAAGGAATAATTTTAAAGGCTTTACTGAGTGACAAAACTAGGCTAATAAACTCAAACACGAACTGTCTTAGTAAGTAATAATATACCAGTCATCAATACGCATTCAAAACTATTGACTTTCATCATCGGTACCTAATTCTATAACGATTACAATCGACATAAAATATAAGATAGTCACACTCATTCAGTTATCAAAAGTACTAATCAGTATTCGACAGGAACAAATCGTTATTTTACGGTTGACTGAAGGTCAGTCAATATTGTTACATGACGTGATATTTGTCTGGATTGATATAAAAATAACGATTGAATAATAATTTTACTTTAGCTTCTAGTGTCATGGGTTTAGACAAATGTGGATAGTGGTTGATGTAATGTAAGTGGCCTGTAGTTGGAACATATTTTGTTAAAACTTGTAAACCACCCTGTACACTCTATAGATGCATTAAAGTGATTTGAATTTGAATTTGAAATATTTTTTACTTATAGCTTAAAAAGAAAAAGCATTTATTTGACAAGAAACAGGCACACAGATACAAAGATTATCACTACATAGTATAAAACAAAGTCGCTATCCGCCGTCTCTCTGTCCGTATGCTTAGATCTTTAAAACTACGCAACGTATTTTGATGCGTTTTTGTTTAGTGGTAGAGTGATTCTTAACCAATGTTTACCTCTATGTATAATACATGCATATTGCATTCGTGGGAGGGGCGGGTCGCTAGTAAAAAATAAACATAAAAACAGATACCTACTTTTTAAATATAAAATAATAATAATTTTAAAAGAGTAAAGAAAAGAACAAAAAAAGACCAATAAAGTATAACAAAATATGTATAATACAATAATAACAGAATTTAAATACTAAAACAAAAAAAAAACGATAAAACTAATTGTTTGCTCACTAAGACACACTACGGGATAATACTGCTGGGGATAAGTAGTTTCTATTGTTACACAATGATTATTTAAGAACAAGTAAGGTTGTATCCTTAATTATATTTCTCTAAAGTCTAGAACTATCTACATAAATCTACACGATTTAATCTCAAGTCAGTGCATTTCACAGCAGAACCCCATCTATTTACAAGTCACCAAGGTACGTCAGTAATTATAACTTTTCCGCCATTTAAAATTCGGCCTGTTGTCTATGCGTAAGCCATTTAATGAAAGTTTCGCGGCAATTAGCTCCCGTTGCCGACGAGCGTTCCGGAATAAATTATAAACTCTATGGTCCTTGATCCGACCGTATTTCGTGAAGTGTACTGCCGCTCTGGGAGTGTTATTGTAAATCATCACGACCTTTTTTATCCTCAAATGGATAAGTTAGGAGCCCAGGTATTTTTTATTTTCGTATGTTTTTAGATGTGACTTATAACTCATTTATTTGACATGGTTTATTCGTTTGTAATGAATATAAATACTATTATATTTTGTTCGCGACAAAATATTTAGTTTTTATTGATTAAATTCAACATCTTTAATTTTCAATTTATTGAAAATCCACAGTAAAGCAATTTGAACAGCTTACACGAGCAAAGAAACTTTCTAATGAATTAAATATTAACTAGAATAACTTTACATATACGTATTTACATCGGCAGAATTTGTGACATTTTGTGGAAATCTATTTAATATAGGAAGTATTTATGTCAGCGTATCAAGTTCAATTATACAGCCAGAAATTGGATACGACACTTAATATTTAGAGGCACTTCCAGGTATATTTTTAAGGGGCTGAACGTGAGGTGTGTTAAAAATCAATCAACATTTTGAGAGGCCAATATATTTTGTTTATCTCACGGTGATGGATATGACAAGCGATAAATTGTTATTAGAGCCTTTATGTTTAAGTTATATGAAATTGAAAGTCTGAGCTTAGCTATTTTTGCGTGAGATTAATGTACTGGTATCTTTTCTAATAGTCGTGGTGACCCGGAGGTTTAAGACGTCCACTTCTCATGCATGAGGGTTCGAAACCTACCAACGGCAAGTACCAATGTGACTTTTTCCGAGTTATATGTACTTACATACTTTCTAAGATTATTCAGACACCACTGACAAACGGTGAAGGAAAACATCATGAGGAAACCTGGCCTTATAATTTCTAATTATAAGTTTGAAATCACCAACCCGCATTGAGCAAGCGTGGTGATCAATGCTCAAACCTTCTCTGTGTGAGAAGAGGCTTTGCTCAGCAGTGGTCATTTATAGGCTGTTGATGATGATGATTTTTTCTATTAAGTAACATAGATTCAAGTATGTTCTCCTCCATAATCCGAATTTATTGTACCGAACTATTATTGTAATTTTGGTTATTAATAATTGTCTACGGGTAAAGAACTAGCAAATGAGACCTTTGCTATTTTCACAAGGAGATCTTGTACTAGGTTTTTTTAAAATAAGTATCTAGTACATAACATAACATCACGCCTTTTATCTCCGAAGTGATAGGCGGAGGTGCACATTCGGCACTTAATGACACTGTGGAATGCATAATTGTACACTTCACTATTTATATTATGAGTCCCATGTAATAGGGAGTGAGCTTATTGCCATATACTTACCGAGCACGTACAGTGCTACTGCACGGAGTCTCGAATCGAAACCAGTAGTAATTGGGATTTTTTTTTAAACTCAGTAATACTTGGCAGTTTCACTCACGACCAGTCGGCCAACGACGCAGACGAAATAAGTAGTACCTACCTACTTTTTGAAAGCCTAGGTAGGTATATTTTACCGTTAAAGTAATGCCTATTATCCCTATTCAACATAAAATAAAACAATGAAAGCGTACTTATTTCAAACTTGTAAGTGTTTCTGACAGAAGAAGGCTAAAGTTTCATTAAAAGTGCTCCAAAATTTGAAAGATCAAAATTCTTGTGAAACAGCTCAGTAGGTCAGTAGGTTATGAAAACTTCAGGCTATGAAATACGTGCTTCTTGAAAATCAGACTTTAGTAGGTCCATTTAGGGTTTGTTTTAGATATCAGCCTGAATAGTATAGATTTGTGTTGTTAAGGGCTCTTGTACAGTTTGCCTTCAATTAGTACTTATTGCTTAGTGCTTGTTTTTCTTGGATAGGACTAAAGTATACTTAAAGAAAGATAACTCTTTCAATAATTCTCTTACTCATACACTCAATATCAACTTAATAAAATTAAGTAGATGCTTACTAAGATGAGTATAGAAAGTCTCACTTAATCTGCGAATTTGTATCGTTGCATGACTCGGTAAAAGAATCTTTTAAAAACTGTCAATTAGACTTACGATGTAGCCAAAGAAAAACAATTTAAATAAGGCACTTAAAACATTTAGCTTTTATTTTACTTAGTTAAAATATTCTTGAACTTAAGCTGGATTAATTATAGTCTTAAGACGCTTACATCAGTACCTCGAGTCAGTATTAACAGGGAAGTTTTGGGGTTCAAAACGAGCGATATAATTTCCGACCGGCCAACATAAAGGTCCTTGGCGATTCATTAACACAACTCTAACGCTGTTCAGAATCCAATTTCTGAATAGTTTTGAAAATATTGCAATGTTATTTTAGACTACTATTTTCCTGGTATATTTTGTTTCTATGGAGTTTCTTGACCATTCTTTTCGATGGGTATCAAAGCTTTGCAATGTTCAGACATCAACAAGAACAAAAAAAAAGTATATAAGTATACAAGCTCTTGATTTTAGAAGAATTAAGATTTATATTATTATTTATATTTTTTTTATGACATAAACCAGTTAACTAGCAGATGGATCACCTGATGGTAAGCAATCGGCGTCGCCCATGGACACCTGGAACCCTAGAGGCATTACAAGTGCGTTACCGGCTATTTGGGGATTAGGAGTTTGAGGATCGTTGGGGATTCAGGGATTGGAGAGATTGGGGAAGGGGACGGGGGTAATTGGGCATCCGGTAACCTCACTCACACGACGAAACACAACGCAAGCGTTGCTTCACGTCGGTTTTCTGTGAGGCCGTGGTATTACTCTGGCCTGCCCATTCGTGCCGAAGCATGTTTCTCCAACAGTAGCATCCAGTAACGAAATTAATCAGAAGGGAAAAAATAATTTTAATGATTTCTTACCTCGTGCCTTCTGTAACAACGTGACAGTGGGGTTCTGTGCCTTAGGTAACCGGCTACCGAAGTTGGAGCCACCCAGGTTGCTGAGACCAGTGACAGGCGCACTGTGAGATGTCCTCAGCCTACCCTCGCTTTCCGATTCACTTGTGGCGCCGTTCTGTTCTGAGTTCTGTCGAAGAATATTATAGGGATGTTATTGATTGGAACACTGTAGAAATGTGTGTTAGAGCCAGACCGCCAACAAATCTATTACCATGTATTTCAAAACTAAATAGAGGTAGAATGAGTGACTTTCTCCTTAGGTACGGGTTTTTAGAGGTGTGCCCCATTGCAATACATTAGGTATAAAGTGTTTTTCAAAAAGTAACTGAAAGGTCCTACAACCAACTCTAACCTGTTCAACCAGTAGCAGTGATTCTTGCATAAGAGTTGAACAGAATCAAGTTCAAAGATTTGCTGCGATATTTAAACCACTATCCAAGTTACGAAGATTTACTTAATATTGTACATTAATCTGTAACTCGATAAAATACGACTCCTTAGCTTTCAGTATTCTTAGAAGACGGCATGAAACTTTATAGCTTTGATGTTACTTTCTTTTTGAAATGTGGCCAAAAAAACTTGTTAAATAAAAATGTTGGGCGTGTTTACTTGAATTCAATTATTCAACTTTCAAGTAAGTGGTTGAAAGTGCTTAAACAAAATTCTAAGATTTTACGATTCTGTTATGAAATGGCTGAAATTACTGGCCATTTCTCTAAAGAGGCTCGTTTGAATTACGATTATTAAATATTCATAAAAGACCACTGAACACTTTGACGGTCGTGTTGCAATAAAATTTTAATTCAACTGGAATATTAATTAATTATGATGTAATAACCTTATTACAGTAGATAATTTTGTATTTCGTTGAACTCCATACATTTCATTTACCTAATATGATGCGTAATTTAAGCTTTATTGGGATGAATATATAGTTTCATATTATTTTTTATTTTCATGAAGTTTCAACCTTCATAATCTAATTATAAACGACAGAATGATGTTCTTCTGTCTAATAACGTAGACCTATTGATTTCCCTAGAGAAGACGAGTACTTACGGAGGTATAAAATTAAAAACAGACATATTCCTATTTGTATAGGCAAAACAGTGTAGTTTATGGCCCCTAAATATATTTTACGAGCCACAAATCGTAGTTCCAGTGATCCATGAAGGTTGGAACGAGGACATAATATTCACGTAGAGGATCAACCCAAACTCCTATTCGCACTAGTTAGAAGATACGTGTAAGAGATGGCGGTGGTGTAGATTTTGAATAGTGTTTGAGTTTTTTCCAATCTAATATTGTATTGTATTAATTCGTAGTTTGTGTAAGGGTCGCAATAAAATGTCATTAAGTATGTCTCAAAATCAAGAAATGTTAAGGATATATTTATTTGACATTTCTAAAGCTAAGCCACACTACATTTTTGTATGTGGCAAACGTAATATTTTCCTCTGTTCTTATTTTAATATCGTGATCAAATAGCCATACTTAATAACATAAATTTTATTATACTGAAATATAAAATTGAAATTGGAAAAAGTTTGCATAGGTGAGTTTCTATAAGTCTTTCATCGCTGAGTTACTTTTACTTACATACGTGGCTAAACTGGTCTTTGTAATAATAACCGTTCTACGACACTGCTGTTGTTGGCACACCTCACTGAAACGGTCACGGTCGTCATCAAGTTCGAACTGAACAGAACAGTAACGTTTCATATACTAGGTTTATGTACACTGTGTATGTATGTGTGTGGATTGGATACTGTTTTAAAATAACTATAAACTATAACTATAACGTATTTGTTCTTACATTCTGATTAAGGAGTTTCTATTTTATCTTTTTCTGTATTGGTCCAAAATACTATCTATGTGTGTGGCGGAACGCACCAATGATATTGAACGATGCAAGAAGTATTGCAGTATACTTTTATCTAATAAGTTTTGGTTTTTGGACGATATAACAATGATCTAGTTTCACAAAAGTGAGCAATTTGTAGGTGCAATATAATTTACGGTGTACTGTAAGTTGTATAACCTCAGAAATACCTAAACAATATCATTTGTACCAACACGACTTGTATGGTATTGTCTTAAACTGCATTCTGAATCATATTCCTCTTGACTCAGCTGTAGATTTACATATAAGACAAATCATACCGGGAATTTACGGCGGGCGGGTGGCGTTTCTTCGAAGTGCACAGGCCTGAAGGTCTTGCGCGGTGTTTGGGGCGAAGCGCCCGCGCTGCCCGGAGTCCACACGGGCGGCGGCGGCGGCGGTGGTGGAGCGCCCGGGCTCCGCGCAGGAGTGCCAGCTACCGGGGGCGGCGCGCCCGGCCTCCAAATAGCTGTAATATTACAAATTACATTAAAGAAAGGCTAGTGAAGACATCAATAAGTTAAGGTACTTCGGTCAGCCAATTGATTTGAAACTTTATTGCTCTTATTTTAGAACTGAAAATCCATTGAAGGTCTTTGTTAGATTAGACCCTACATACACGTGCCAAACTAAATAAATCAAGACTAGTTTGCTTGGCAACGTCGGATTTGTTGATTGATATTTCCTCTTGATGAAGAAGATGAGCGTTATCAACTTTGTTTGCGATAACGTTTTTATTTAATTGGTGGATCAGTCATAAAAGATTTCCTTATGGACCGAAGTTGCTTAACAATTACAATTTATTCTCAAAGCGTTTTATTACGCTACAGAAGGCAATTCCCAACTAAATAAAGAATCCAAAAATTCATCTTAATTAGAAATGTCAAAAAGTATCCTTTAACTGTATAACACCAAGCGGTCACCGGTGACCGCAACCTATTGTTCTATAATTGTGTCTACAAAACCGGTACTCGACGAGTTAATTTTGTATGAAATACTATGACGACGATTTTGCGTCCATCGGCATTTACGTATCATGAAAATAGCGAAAAATAAAACGAAAATGAAGAATATCGTAAACACTAATAATGATTGTTTGTGGACACTTTGTTGTATTGAAAAGTCGATTAATTATTTATTGCTTGTCGTAAATAGTTATGTTTAGTATTCTATTATATTCTTTGTGAATAGTTCTTAAGTTTTAAATGTACCTATTATGATAGCAAAATTAATTATTTAAAAAAGTATAATATCCGTAGTTTTATTTAATTTGGCCTATTTCTTGTAATAAATAAATAACCAATCGACTTGACTGCACGATTGGTGCGGTAACTGGGCAACCGGCTGCCGTGCAACGTGTCGCGGGTTCGATTCCCGCACGGAACAACACTTTGTGTGATCCACAAATTGTTGCTTCGGGTCTGGGTGTCATGTATGTGAACTTGTATGTTTGTAAACGCACGCACGACACAGGAGAACATCTTACTGTGGGGCAACGTTTTCAGTAAAAAAAATCAATCTGCATAGTTCAATGAACCTTCTGTTACACTATCTTATATGCACCTCAATTCAGGTGCAATCAGCTGCTCCTAAATTAGGCGTGAGTCAGTCAGTTGGCTGAGACTGAGAGCAGTGTAGTTATATCTGAGTTTACAGCTTCATGTGTCTGACCTTACAGTTTATATGCACGTGGGAAGACAGTAACAGTCTTGCCTGTTTAGGAGTTTCTTAGTACATAATTATTGTTGCCGTACGTACGTATAGGCAATACAAATTGAAGTCTCAGTAGTAGCACGGAATCTGGAATTGTGTCCGGTATATGGCAATAGGCTCACCCCCTATTACATGGGACTTATAACATAAATAGTGAAAAGTGGGTGCTACTTCTATGTGCAACCTCTACCTACCCCTTCGAGGATAAAAGGCGTAGTGTTATATTAAATGTAAGTCCCTCTAATGAGTACTATTCCATGTGGTCTTCTATTATCGTCTTACTATTATCAATGTCAATTAACCCCACAGATATACATATATATCCAGTTAATGAAAGAAGATACAACGAGTTTCTAGTTTATTTAAGGTAGGGTTTTTATTATGCTTTACTGCTTACTACTTTAGTGTCTAATTACTCTTTAGAACTAATTACTCTTTTGACTTGCTTATGGAGCAGTTGATGACCCGCTGGTTAGAAGGCTAAAATATTACGTTACTAGACCGAGGTGTGCCGAACATTAGTACGTCAAGCTGTCGATGCCTGTGAAGGCTAGTTTAAAGCTAATTAATATTAAATTTAATTAAAATTAGATGTTCTGACTAGTATAGTCCGTAAACGGTGTTATTAAAGGAGACTGTTATTGTAATAATAATAGAAATTGGTGCTTACTTCATTTAACATAATGCACATACATACATACATATTAATATATTGAAAGTGTATTGTTACCTACCTATTGTTAGTATAGTTAACGGACTGCTTCATTGGCCGAGTGGTCGCAAGTGGTCTCGGGTTTGATTCCAAAACATTACTGGGATTTTCAAAAATTCACAGCAATAGCACGGAGTCTTTAATTGTGACTGTGTGAATTGTCACCCCCTATTACATGGGACTCATAACATAAATAGTGAAAAGTGGGTGTTACATTGTACAGTGGCATAATGTACACCTCTGCCTACCCCTTCGGAGACAAAAGGCGTGATGTTATGTTATGTTAGTTAACGGAAACGTACCGTAGTAAACATGTCTGATGGAAAAATAAGACATGTCGCGCTGACCCCAAGTAATTTAACGAAAGAACACGTAAAAGAAGAAGAGGTTATAACCTTACAATATTCAGGTTCAAAAGAAAGAGCCAGTTTATTAATAAATATGAAGTAAAGCTTTTGTGGCCAATCATAAAATAGGGCTCGTAAAATATTATAGTGTTTCGGTCCGCTTAGAAGCTCCAAGGTTTGTTGTCAACATGTCAATTTCGAAGCCAAATAAACAATAGTCTAAATAAAATTTTGTCGTTGAACAATATATATATATATATTTAATAGTTGTATTAAAGTTTAAGTTTTACAAGTTATTCAGAAACTATTTCTGTTTAAACTGTCAAATACCAAGCGGTCACCGGTGACCGCAACCTATTGTTCTATAATTGTGTCTGCAAAACCGGTACTCGACGAGTTAATATGAGTTAAAATATTACTATTGAAGTTATGCTGAGCGAACCAACTTGTACTATATTTCCAGTAATTAGGTAGAAGTTCACATTTTGATGTTATTATTGTCAAAATAAATGTAGAAACGACTTCTATGATACTAACAAGATGTGCCATTGTCTAGAGTCTGTTCAAACAATACGGCCTTCATAAAACGTAGCACATACTCGCGCTTCCATTCGAAGGCTGAACGATATACCTGCTCCATTCAATTTGGACGTTTTTACACGGAGAGCTGCATTTTACGATCTTGTAATAAATCTCGGCGGGGCGTAGAATCGAAGTGTGTTTACTCGGTCGTTTTTAACAAATTGGGTTAGTGGTACCGCGCCCTGCTGTCGACGTAATCGCTTAGCCTGTTAGGACTGTGATGTGATCACGCCCCAACTCGAATCTTCACATATTTACCTTCACTCACGCACTGATAGCTTCGCACACACGTTTGCTAATCAAAATTGAAATTGTTCCGGACCGAGCGTCAATGTCAATATGCCTTTAATAACGTTTACTGGTATTCTAGCCTCATTTCATATTAACAGTGCTCTCGTCCAGATTGCTTTCTATAATTACACAGATTAAAACATCGAAATAATATGGTCTGAAATCCAAATCACATGGCGCAGTCGAGGGATTAAATCGTATCCGATAATTGGTTATTTATCTAAAAGCCCTGGGATCGTGCGCTGACATCAAAGTGAGAAAGTGAACGCAAATAAAATTAAAAGTGCGCTGAAAACGAATCCAATTATGGCACAACGGAGAAAAAATCCCTTTTGCGTCGGTGTTGGTCCCCCTCTATTGCAGTGTACACTGTACAACGTCCAGGTGAAATGTGTGTGTGGATTTGCGAGCTCGTGAGACGACTCTTAGTTTTTTTGCTACCGATATATGTTGCAGCGTATAAGCTACACATTGTTTACAGTTTGACTAGTTTTTGGGGCGAGTTGATTGGGGCGGTACAAATATGCGCGGATATTCATAGGCGGTGAATTGGTTTAGTTCTAACTCTGATGAATTGTATGACTGACTATAGCTTAAAACAAACATCAAGTAGCAACTGTTCAGTTTATTGTAAAACAGTTTTTTTCGTATATACGTATGGTGCTACTGTTGGAGAGTGGACAAAAGCAGTTTCATGTTTATTCAACGTCACTCAATGTAAGTTCACGTGGCAAGGATGGGAAATTATAGAATGATAGAGTAAACTTTAAAAAACCTAACCGGCCTGACAGTTCCACAAGCCATGAAGACCGCAGAGGACAGGGGCGTTTGAAGGAGGGTTGTGCATCAAGTGACGCGTGCACCAGACTAGACACGACCTTCAGTAATGAAGAAGACGACTAGGAAGAAGAGTAAACTTTTAAAGAATTCAACACATTTTGATTTGTTTGAAATAAACAGTTGCAATAAATCTAGGGAAACTTTGCTTTAATTTAAATAAACACCTACAAACCAGAAAAATTCCAACTCTGAATTATACAACAATCAGAGTATACCAGGAAAATTCAAACTCTGAATTATAATTCTAACAAACCCAATTACATAACTGGACCACTGACTCGGTTTGTCCTCTTGTTTCCAAAAATGGTGAAAATACCTCCTACATCACGTTCTTGCGTCTCACAGAGGCGCTTTATTTTTCGTTCGACCATTAGGGATTCAAATCACAGCGGTGGTCGTGCCGGCGGCTAACTTACAGCCTTTACTTCTAATTGTATTATGAACTCCTGGTACCAAGCTCGTATTTTGGACAACACATTGTTGTTTATTATACAGTCTTGTTTTTTTGGGTCTTTAGATGTTTTTTTTTGTATACTGAAAGTATCTTCGGTGAAAATCCGAATCTTGGATGAAAATCACAACAATTTTAAAGTGTGAAAGTTGGCTTTATATTTGGTGGATCTAGAAATATTTTTACTCAATTTTGTCTTGACAGAATTTGATACATTAAAAATTGATGTTACTGAAACACAATTGTAAAATTCATTACTTCAGTTCTTCGACCACAAATGAAATGATTTCTAAATACACAACCAAAAATTGGATAAAACTAATAACTCTGATAAAACCAGTATCCTTAATAAGCAGAATTTCACAAGAACACCTTGTAGAGTTTTATTGATGCAGCAGGAGTTACAAAAACTTTTTCTTTTTCAAATCAAGATAGAAAAGTGAGTAAACTAGAAAAACTTAGTCGATATCGCATCGAACTTTTATATTTCTTTTAAAGTTTATAATGAAAGTTGAAAAATGGTGCGATCGGAA